CGACTTTTGTCCTGAATCTGACATTATGAAATTCTCGTATCGATTTGAAATATCTTTAAAAAAACAAACCTCTCAGTGCGAACTTGCGATGAATAACTCATATGTCGACTTCGTTAGTTTGACCTAGAACCGAGACAAAAAAAATACTGGCTTTGCTCATGTCTAATTACAATACAAAAAAACTCTATCGTTAGATACGAACTTCTTATAGTCCATAACAATTCCAAAAAAGTTACTGATGAAATAACCATTGCAGTAGAATATTGATGTCTCTGATGCATCGATACAATGATAATTGACAAACAAAGCATTAAAAAATCTTTTATTTATGTTCAAGGTACAACTCTTATATCAAGCAAAGAAAGTACACGAAAATATGCTCCACAAATTCTTCATTTTCCATCTGTTGCTATTCAGCTTCAATGATCAACATTACCAATTATTGATTGTCATGATATTGATCCACATTCAAGTGAATATGCATTTCTTAAAGAAATTGGTGTACGTGAAGTACCTGATTTACAAAAATTAATTGATCGAATTATTGAAGAACATAATGAACAAAAGAAGGAATCAAACAAAGAATATAAATTACCAATAGCACTTAAATTTTTAGCTGAAAATTTTCAACAACATTATTCAAAATTATGGAAAGCAGCTAAAATTAAGCGACCTTTTCTTCCATCTATTTCACTATCGAAAACTACTATATTATCATTATCCGAAGAAGTTTTTAAAGGTTTTTAATTATTTTAAAATTGTTTTTTCTCTCTATTTATCATATTTTTTTCTGATTAGATAAAAGTCCATTATGTGCAACATTATTGCCTAACGTTGTTCAATTATTTGAAGAAAATTTCAATATATCATTACTTGGTGTTAAAGATTGTCCAACATTAACAACAGCTTTTGATATTTTAATGGAAAAAAAAGAAGAAATACTCAATGTAGAAACAGCTCCAAAAATTTTTGCTTATATGAATGAACTTGATGGTCTAAGTCGAACATTAATTGAACGTGTATCCAAACTTGCTTTTATTCCTCTTAAAGGAAATGACAATCTTATGAAACCATCACAAGTTTTTATTCATCCTGATAATTCAACAACAACAACATCATCATCAAGATTATGACAAATGCGTGTTATACTTTCAGAAACATCTGAAGATGATGATGATAATGATGAAATGACGCAAATCATTGGTAGTCGTAGTCTTCGTCGTAAACGAAGTAATGCTAAAACAACAACATCAAAAAATAAAAAAATAAAAACAATATCATCAACTCCATTAATTATGGATGATGCAGATAAAAGTGGTTTAATTGATTATATTGATTATAGTCTTGAAGGAAATTCTTTTCTTCGTGGTATTGATGTACTTCATCATCCATCCGCAACTATTTTAGCTGAATTATTAAATGATCAACAGGCAAATTATTTTTCAAATTTAGATCAAAATAATCCAAATGATTTAGAACAAAGATTATCTACTTATACAAGTTGTCTTCAACAACTTGCTATTGCAGTTAATACAGACAAATGAATTACAAACAGAAACATTAGTAAAAAGATTAAAAAATGAAGCTTGGTGTTTAGGTTATCATTTTATTGAAAAATGTTCCACTAGTGAAAAGAAACGTATATTTAAAATTGTACCACCAAATGAAATTTATCTTGATGATGATCATCAATGTGCTATTGATCTTCAACCATTCTTACCACCTAATGAACCAGAATTAACAAAATTATATGAAAAATTTGGTGCTTTGTGGTTATCAGAATGTGTAAAAAGAACATTAGTACATAAAGGTTACAAAATAAAAATTTCATTTTGAATTTTAAATAAATAATAGAATTGAATTTTATTGTTTTCTAGGAAACATTGCTGTATCAGATCGAGGTAATAAATTACGTGATTTAATTCAATATCGTCTTGATATGTTATTTGTTAATAATCGAGTAAATATGATATAAATATGAGTTCAAAATTCTAGAATTTCTTATTTTTTTTTTATTTTGTAGAGGGTGAAAAAATGGAAAATCTTGATGAAAAACATGTTGAAATGTTACGAACAAATTTATCTGCTTACGAAGTTGATAGTATTCAATGTCAATTAACATTTCAAAAAAAGACAATTACATTTGACGTAAGCTTTTCATTATTCTTCATTTCTATTACTGATAAGAAATGTATTCCAAGATACATGAAGGAATAAAATAATCTACCTGTGATTAGTAGCAACAGGAACATTGTGTTTCACATTTGTTTTTCATTTTAGTCAAACAATAGTAGTTCATGTGCACTTGAATATGATAAAAACAAAGTTGTATTATATGTTCAAAAACATATACGTGCATTTGATTATATTGATATTGCAAGTGAATTAGCTAGATTTGTATTTAAAAAACCATTTGATACAGTTGCTCATACAATAGGTGATAAACTTGCATCACCATTACAAACACTTAAACGTCGTGGTATACCTATTGATCGTTTACTTCGACACAAAAAACAATATATACATTCAACTATTCAAATGATTGAGCAAAAACCTATATTAAATCATAATAATAATCATTATTATCATGAAACTGATGTTAAAATAAATGGTCATGTAAAAGATTTTAGTCGTCAACAAATAAAAAATGATACTAAATTATTTTCAATGTTAAACATAGGTCGAGCATATACACAAACAAAATTTATTCAACAAGAATATGTTAACAATGAAATTGCTCATTCATGTGAAATTGTACCATCAGTTAATATGACACGTTATAAAGATTTATTTTATTCAATACCATTATATATTGAATTAAATGTTCTTATTACAAATAAAATGCTTGATCAAGCTACGCAATTAGCTTGGATTTTAAGAGGACTTGCCAGTCATGTATTTAAAATATCTATTGAAACATTACGTCTTTATCGAGATATTGATGGAGGTAAAGATTGCAAATTATCTTTTAAATAATTTAATTTATTTTGCTTTTATCTCTTAGCTCGTATTGCATTTAATAACTGTCATGTATTATTTTTTAATCTTCGTTATTATGAACAAGTTTTTGCTGATGAAGTTCAACCATATTTACAAGCAACATCATCATCTATACCAATAATACATCGAATTGTTAATTTTTATTTTATATTGACATGTCATGAACTTGCACATAATTTTGAAGCAGTACATAATTCTAAGTTTATTCATCATTTGGAAACAACTGCAGTTAAATTTATGCCAGAAAAAGATTTATTCTTACAGAAATTTTCATTTCAAAATTATTTACAACATAATTTTGTTTGAATTAAAATTCTTTTTTGTTATTATTATATGTTATAACCTATATAAATAAAGACATGATTTAAATCTTATCTGCATCAAAGACATCTTGTTTCCGCGTTATGTGTTAGGATATGGGTCTCTGAACTTATTGTGCACAGGCATCCATATCCACCCTAGCCATACATTCTATTTCTCTCAGAAACGATCTTCTGCTTTTTAATCAACGCTTCCTAGCGAAACAAGATTTCATAAAATTAAGTTTTTTCGAATGAATAACGTGTCTATCGTATTTGACAACATATTTCATATATCAATAGCATTGAATATACTTTGTAAAAAAAAAAGCAATGAATAGATCGTCGTGTGAAAGGATTCTTTGTCCTGCTATGAACAACTTTTTCATGCTACCAATCGGTCTTCAACGTAGGATTGTTATGTGAAAATATCATAGAAAAGGCAGAGAAGGACAGGAACATTCGTCTTTGCTCTGAAGATAACAACGAAAATATTCGCTGTTAGATAAAAAAATGGTAAAAATCTCATTTGAAATTGTTATACCTTCTTCGATAAATAGAGATGGTCAAAAAGAAAACAGAAAGACATAATTTTAAATACATTGAAGAAAATATTGTGTCAATACTTTTTCAAATGGAAACATATGTTTGATTGAATTCGATGATACTCAGCTTTAATCTAAAAATGAAATTGTTTATCTTATCAATAAATGTTGAACTTCGAATACGAGTAAGTGCACATAGGTATAATTATTCATTTCCAATGATTGTTTTGCTTATTTGTTCCACTTCACATTAAATAGAAATGCATGCGACCTTGTTGAATCATATCGAATTCGCCAAGAACCAAGCGATTTTAAAACGTTGTTTAGAAAATGATTTTGTTCTAAATGATGATCTTTGACCTGATAAGCTTGCTTCGTATGATCGATGAGAAGAAAATATTCAGTTTCTCACTGCATAACCGGTGCTATATAAAAGAAATAACTCATGGGTCACTTAAGAACACGAATTGATTAGATGGTTTGTTCGATGGGTGTGAGTTGCTATATCTTCTTCACAGACAACCACACCCCACACCCCTTTCTGCAATAAACCATCTGTAGTATCTAGAAATGATGTAATGAAAAAGAAACAAACGACTGAGAAGGTTTTAAAACTTACCTGTGGTGACGCTGCCTGTTTCAAAAAGAGCTAAATTAACAACAATTTAAGAATCAGCTAATTCACCGATTCGTTTTCCTGGTTTATATGATGCTATTGGTCGACATTTTTCATGACAAACATTTGAAAAATCATGATATTGAAATGCTCGTATTCTTTCTAATAAAAATAAATTTTCTTTGAAAACAAAACTACTATTATTACTAACTATTATTCAGTGATTTTTTTGAATCAATTAAGTCATCACAAGCATCATAAATTTGTTCATAGACGCTAAAAAATTATTTACATGTTGGTCAGAAGTCAAGAATATCTCTGGAAATTATTTGCGTATGTTAACAGAACTTATCTGTGGCTTTTCTCTTTTGAATTTTTCAAATTTATTCCAAAAAGTAAAAACAAAAAATTAATTCCATCAAACACCAAATCATCCTCAAAGAAACAGTTTGATTAAAAATCTGGTGAACAAATACTAATGCCATAATGCTATATCAAGATCATATGGGCAACCTGTTTTTAAT